TTATTATTATTACCAGTTGTAAACTTTTTACTTTGCTTTATTTAAGAAAATCCATATAGGATTTGAGTTGATATAAAAGTTGTCCTTAAATCAAAAAAAAAATCACAAGACATGGTGCGCAGACTTTCTGTTGTATGTAACTATCAATTCAGATGATAGATCAAAATGTCAAACTGACTTCAAAACTTAATCAGTTGTAGATGTACTGCCACTGATTACTTTCTGAAAGTTTTATAAAAGATTATCCAGTGGTTCTGGGAACAAACGTGATATAAAAATATTATCATCCGTCTTTTGCCTTTCAGTGGCAGGTGATAATACATGTAATCACATGATGTAAAATCATAAACAATCAGCTGGCTTTGCTTTTAAAATGCATTATAAAGTGTACAACAGAACAGAGAGATTAAAATTTAGAATCGTGTGACACTATGTACACAATTTCTCAATTTCAAGGTCTTAGCTTTGCAGAAAAAAAAGTTTAGTCCTCAYTGTGCATAAAACCACAGTCAGACCTGGGATGAACAACAGCTGAACTTAAATTAGTTGTGAAAGTATTTGTACTCACCTTACAAAACACATGAAGTGTTTTCTTTCACAAAAGAGTTGAAACTGTGGGGTCAGGAATGATGAGCGTACCCAATGTCAGGCCTGCTTCACCTCTCACAACAAAAGTAAGGATGGCCCTTCGGCTCCGTCAACATGATACATTCCTCGACCTTGTGAAAGAGCGAGGAGAAACCCCTTCATCACAGCCACCGACCAAAGTGCAGAGAAAACTCCAGAGGGAAAGACCAGAGTCAAAGTCAAGGTAAAACATCCACTTTTTTTCTCAGAAATGTATTTGTGGTAAATTTCCAAGTAAGTGAAGAGGGAATGAAATCCCAGTGCAGAAGGGAAAAAAAAGGTTTTCTGCCAGTGGTACAGCTTGTTACATAAAAGCAGCACAACAGCTTGTTCTTTAATCCCTCTTGTAAAAAAAAGTCTTCCTCTTCAGGCATCTTTTCACTAATCAGTGGCAGTTTTCTTCTCATTCTGCCTCACAATGGTAACGTTTTTCAAAGCAGAGCCCCGCGAGCCATCAATATCACAAACATGTGAGCCACATTCCTGCAGGGAACACTGCCTGAGAGCGATACCTCAGCATCTTCACTTCACAATGCTCACAACTCCAGTCTAGGCTTTGTTGTTTAACTTGTCAGAGGCTGCCATGGGAAGAAAAAAAAAACATAAAAAGATATGGTTCTGTAAGGAAATTCTTAGAGAGCTGAACAACCCCTGTGAGACATCTCTCCTCCGCTCTGGAGGAAACACAAGTATTACATTTCAGTTTGTGGTCAGACATGTTAGTGAGGAAATAATCCACAAGCTCTGAGATTAATTCATGTTTTTGATCAGTTTAACCATGGATAAAGCTGTGTGATGTATTTTTATAATACACGTCACAAAGCTCTTTTACATTAGCTTCCATGGCACTCACAATTTCTGCATTTTATACCTGTGCCTAAATGTGCATCAAGGGCTAACATTGGCTAACATTCCTTGAAGGAATACATACACTGGGACCAGAATTCACAGGATTAATTCCTCATATGGTGTCCTTGAGCAAGGCACTTAATCCCTAACTGCTCCCCTGCTGATAGGTGTATCTCACATGTGATGAGTCAAATTTCATCATTGTATAGAAACATGCATTGATGACACTACATAGCACATTATTATTATTATTATTATCTCCAGAGTTTTAGACTAAGATCATTTTATGATGAAAAAGGGGGGAATTTAACACGGTGAGCCACCCTAGCCCATGTACTATTTTATTATGTGCAGTGTTGTAATGAAATGTCCGATACAACACAACCATGCTGTGTTTAGTTTTACAGACCAAAAGTCAGGATCCTGTTGACACAATTGTGCCAACATGTCAAAGTTCTTCTCACAACCCATGCCCCCATTTCTTTTATCTCTGAGATTTTTTTTTTCCTGCGGCCGTCATAAAAACAATTGGGAGCAGTTAAACATTGTCTTTGTCAACAGACTGTGTGCACAACAGTGACTTTCTAACAAGCTTTACAGTATTTTAAAACAATTCTTCTCTAAACTTTCAGAGTAAAACTTGGTTTTCTTAAAGTCTCGTGGCACATAATGAATGAGGCACCACCATCACATGACAACTTGTTGGCTAACTTAATTTACTGAACTCTATAATGTGCTGCTGATGGAGACAATCTTCATTATAATTCAGTTAGCCAACATGTGGAAATTATTAAATAGATAACATGCATAATTTGCCTTTTTTTACTTTTGTCTCATTTTGTTTCAAATATTTACACAAAAATATATAAAACCATGTTRTCACATGACATAATTAGCCTTCCTCACAGGGTGATATTAACTCGTGGTTTCTAAAAGAAAACAAAACATAATCTAATTTTTTGCTCAAGCACACTGCAGGACATAATTAGTTTCCACTTGCCTTTTTTATCTTGCTTTGCAGATTGCTTCAAGAAACCCAGCTCAACAACCACTCATCACACACTCTGCTGTTTGAATCAAATTATTCACTTTCAGTGTGCTGTGAACCAATCACTAACAGCACGTTTACATCGGACCACCCAGTGGGGTTCAGGGGAGAATGAATCTTGTCTCCTCTGGTAGCAAACTGTGAAAAAAAACATTTGGAGAGAAATTTAACCTTTAAGATCAACCTTCAGCTGTTTTACAGCTCGAAATGATACTTGATTTTAGCAACAAATGATTAGGTGGGAAAATGAAGTCTGGAGTTTTTGGCCACACATTAGTAAATTATGGCTCGAGGGCCAGAGGTGGCCACTRGGTTTTCTCTATCGGGTCCCAATTGTTTTCAAATAAACATAACAGCTTTACAACAGATATTGATAAAAATAAAGATTAACACAAGAAAAAGCAATTGGAGTTCCAATTAAATCGCAATTTTTCACAAAATGCTTTCTTCTAATGGGCCTGCGTGAGCTCGGTGGTCGGTGCTGCAGGTCTGAGCCCCGGCTGCATCAGAGAGGGTTTAAAACTATGGTGGCCCAGAAGGCTTCACAAAATGCTAAAGCCACAACAGAGAGTTCACTCAGTGTGGCAACTCCTCAGAAGAGAGCTGCTCAAACAAAACCAACAAAACCAGTCTTGTGTGGAGCCCGTCCACTGACATGGGATAAAAAATAATTTATAAAAAAAAAGCCTTGTCACAAGRTATTATTTAGTTAATTTTGAGCAGCTGTTTCCTCTTTGTGAGATACAGATTTTGAAAGATTATAAATACACTGTTTTTGAATTTAACTGTGCAAATGTAAACCACATTTTAGTTTTTGGTGTGTTTAATTGAAAGAGTGCATCTCCATGGTTCAATCTAAACAGTTCATTTGTCACAGTGCTAGTATTTATGACACTGAATGCTCTAGGTGTGTGTTGAGAAACTGTTTTTTTTACTGTGTTCCTATAATGTAACATAACTCCGACTCTTTCTGCAGAAATGACACAGTGAGCGAGGAGCATGTTTCGAGTATTGAGCCGAAAAAATAAGCATTTTTGGACAAAGACAGCTCCAGTCATTTCTTATTGCTGCAACATATAATGCCAAGAATTATTTCATGCCTAAACACAAGTGACTGAAGTATRTCATTCATTCCCATATTAAAATGAAATCAATTCAAACTTGTCCATGTAAACAATCTACAGTCTCTGCATGGTACATACAAATCATGTCGACTTTAGTTTTGGTTTTGTGGTCAAAGTCAACATAATTTTTCCAACTAAATCAAAGTAGCACGTTTAATTTCCATGAATGACATTAATAAATAACACAWGCACCATAATCTTATCACAAAGATTTTAAAATCTGTTTGCTCCATGAGGTGGACTTTATACTGCAATAAGAGGAATTAMATATTTGGTTTACTCTGAAGCATTTACTGAACTGCTTGCTGTATTCACAATTCTTCAGCCAATATCTTGCAAGTGTGCTTAATTAGAAAGTCAACATCCAGTTATCGCTGCACTATAGGTGAATATTCAGTGCTCASTTACCACATTGTTTCCTGTCAAACAAACAGGGTAATGACAATACATGCATTTCTAAAACATGTACCTTTTAATTTTTGAAATATTGCCTAAATACTTTTTCATATTTCTTTATTGGACAGTTCAAAGGAATAAAAAGATTAACATGGCATTTGTGGCCCTGATTTAGTCCATATTTRACAAAAACAACAGATACAGATCAGCACACACCTAAATGTTATAAAACAGGATGGATTAAAAATGTGCTCAAGAAAGGATTAGTGCATAAAAAGTTATTTTATTATTACTGAACCACTTCCAGTCTGAAAGAAAACGCATGAAGACAAAAAAAAAAGCCAACAAATGCACAGCAATCATACAAGACCTCTGAAAAACAGCATTTTGATTGTAATTTTTGTTGTTCTTTCAGTTCCTATTTGCTCCCCAGTCTAACGGGAAGAGTAGTGAATTAAGAGAGGCATGGAGAGAGAGAGAGAGAGAGAGAGAGAGAGAGAGAGAAAAAAAAAAGGCGGCTAAATACACTCACCCCCGTCAAATCTTACAGAAAAATGCCTCGCAGCTGCAACTGGGACCAGTTTCTGTTCATTTAAGGAATGTAACCAAGAGGTTTCATTTCTTTAAAACAAATATTCAGCCCATTTATTTAAAAAAAGGCTTTTGGTTCCTCCTTCAAGTCAGGACTCATTGATCCTAACTAGAGACAAGGAGAACTGTGGAATGGTTAATGAGGTGTAAAAGCACTCATGGTCACAAAGTCCATTTTAACATTTTGTTTGTGCACAATTAGATTAATTGCATTAAAACGGACAATCTGGAAGTCATTCCAAAAGTTAACCATTTACAATTCAGATGTTTACAGAAAGCATAGAACAGTGTTTAGATGTTGGACAGTACATAAAAAAAAAAAAAAAACGAAGCTCGACTCCTACAGTAGTCCTTGTCCCTGCAGATGTGAAGGTTTGCTTGGAGCTCAGTAAGTAATTGTCCACTGCTTGACACTGGCATCATGGGAGGTGGTGACTAAAGTGTGCTCATCTATCCAGGCCAAGCCACTGACGTGGTGCAAACGGTGAGCATCTGCAGACAGGAAGAKAGACGAGACGTTACTAAATATTCTCCCACAGAGGAAACAAACCTACATTTGGTCCTTATGTACTGAAATATAAGGCATGAGATTTATCAGTTCTTTTGTTTAATACATTAAATTTCTGTATTCACCTCTTTCTAGGAGTATTTTTATGCATATACATTTGTTTTACACAGTGAATTATTTTGTTACACAAAAGGATTTTTCACAAAATAAGAGTTAGAACGAATTCTTCAACCCAGGATTTTACATCATCTGTTCTTTTCTTACACAGGCAGAAAAGCTGCAGCAGAACCCTCCCTGCCTACACCTACACTCACCTGTTCATTCTTGTACAATAAAATAACTCACTAATTTCTCCTTTTTTATATTCCACTTGTTCTTCCCAGTGTCTAAATCTGAATTCGACACCAGCATGTTTCTATCAGCTTGTTAATGGCTTTTGTTTTGATTTTGACAAGGAGCTGGCTTGGATGGTCAATTATCTGACAGCTTGAAGACAACAGCATATTCTTCAAAAGAGACAACTTTGCAATAGTTCTGTTTTTTTTTTTTTTTTGTAAATTATGTTTTGTTTGAATATATTCTGGGAATAAAAGGGGCAGACATTATAAGATTTATTCTTCTTCTGCTGCCTTTCATTGTATTTTGATTTGTGTATTTTGTTTTTTTATTGTATATAGTTATTTTTTTAATGAAATGAATAATTTTTTTAATGGAATGATTTATTTCTTTGAATCCATTTAAGAGACAGAATGGTGCATGAATGACACAAAGACTGTTTCATCTATGTTGAAGCTTCCGTTTGATTGTTTTTTAAATTTTATAATCCAGTTTAAAAAGGTTTTAAATCAGAGCACTGGCTATTGTAAAGAGTGATGTCCACAGAAAAGTATGTTTTAATCAGTAATGCATTAGWCCATAGTTCATGCAAAACTGTCTAAATGTACTACTTTTTAAAAAATTCTTTCAACTCTATAAACAGTTACATCCATCATCTATACCCGCTTATACCTTTCAGGGTCACTCCAGCAGGCACAGAACGAGGGGCGGGGTACACCCTGGACAGGTCACAAGTCAAGTAAACAGTTACTTGACAAAGACAATTTTTATTGTTAAGAAGCAGTCTTTGATGCAATTCAGCTCTCCCCCAAACGTTTGATGAGCATTTAGTGATTCRTTTTGAACATGTGCAAACAAAGCTTCTGTTTCATTAAAGCCTAATTTTTCCGATTTCAAAAATGGGAGTTAAGTTGCACCGATTATATTGAGTTTTAATTCATTTTCCTGTCCCGACATGTTTCAAACTAAACCAATACATTTGGCACAACTCAGAATGTTGAAGGTTGCACAAAGACCTGTAGTTTTAATCACCAACCTGGAAGTTTAATCCTCTTGTCAGGATCACCGAGCGTCCAGACGTACACCATCATGTCCATGCCACCGGTGGCAAAGTGCTCATTATCAGGGGACCAGGCCAAAGTAACTGGTTTGGCATGATGTCCGTAAAACTCATTCTTTACCTGGAGGGGGAAGGAAAAATTGTTAAACATGCTGGATACTGTGTAATGTTCAACATCCAAAAGGAGGGAATTTTACCGAATATCCATCTGCCACGCTGAAGACGGTGGCTACTTTCTTATCATCGAGGACTGCCAAATACGCTCCATCATTAGAATAGGCCATGTCAGTAATGGGCCCTTTAGCCTCAAGAGTTTTACCCTCCTCCTTCAGAGTGTTGCCCTGGATGGAGTACAGGTGGACCTTTCCATCCTGAAAACAGACAGCAAATACGTCTCAAATGTTACACTGTCCTTTTACCACAAGGCCATGTACAAAAATATCCACATTAATTTAAAAAAAAAAAGGCAAATTAGGAAAAGTTATCTAACGAAGCCAGCAGAATGCGTCTTCTGTCAGATTATTTGCAAACAAGGACCTGCATTTGGTTTTCAAACAGACAGGAAATTCACTTACTGCTCCTCCAACTGCAGCAGTGGTGCCACCAGGATGGACGACTCCAACCTCTGCTTCGTAGCCAAGATTGTCCAAAGTGAAAACTTTCTTCTGGTCCTTCAGCAAGACGAGCTAGGAAAAACAAACTCTGTCAAGTTAAGCAGTTGTGTAATAATGTTACCAGTGTTGTCTAAAGTATCTCAAAGTGTTACTTGAGTAAAAGTACAAATATTCTATCATAAAATTACTTTGGTAAAAGTTAAAGTCTCCTCTAAGAATAATACTTGAGTAAAAGTCTTAAAGTATCTGATTTTTTTTTGTACTTAAGTATCAAAAGTACAAGTATTGAGTAAAAATGAGCAGTTAGATTTTCCAAGATACATTTACTGGAAGGTGACCTCTTCAAAAAAAAAATTTTCTAAAGGCGTGGTGCAGCTTTAAGTGTATACAAACTAAATACAGTATCTGAATAGTATATATTCATACTTCTCATCCAACCACATTTCACTACCCAGGAGCCACAATTGTTTAGGATAGTATTTTTTAAACAATAACAAGCCAAAATGAAACAGGAGAAACGACTTTCTACTTCTTACCTTTTTTTAAAAATGTAAGGAGTAGAAAGTAGGCCACAGATAACTGTGTGAAAATGTAGAAGTAAAAAGTAGGC